TAATGTTCAAAAAACACATTATTTTTCAAATACTGTACATTATTGGAGGTCCTCTATCCCCCGCCTCTCTCAAGCACGTCGTTTTCAACAAAGCCCCTCCTTTGACAACCGCAGTCTGCTCTGATTGGCCAGCTGACCCAGTGCATTGTGATTGGCCGAACACCACAAGCACGCGTCGGAAATGTTACCATACCATAATCGCGAGCATCAGCTTTCAAAGTAAATATCAAGACCGTTAATAATGTTAGTTTTACCATCAGTTCAAGCCCGAAAGGGCGACAGAGTTAAAAACAGTAATATTGTGAAATATTATAACAATTCAAAATAACAGTTCTATATTAATAATTTAATGTATTTCTGTGATTAAAGCTGAATTTTCAGTGTCACGTAATCCTTCAGAAATCATTCTATCAATGTTGGAAGCGGTTGTGCTGCTTAGCATTTGATTGATTGATCGATCGCAACCTGTGATACTTTGTCAGGACTCTTTGATAAATGAAAAGTTAAAAAGAACAGCATTTATACAAAGTAGAATATTTTGTAAGACTTTATTATCACGTTTTATCAATTAAACAATCTTGCTTGGAAAAAAAAAGAAAAAAAAAGCGGCTGATGAAAATTCAGCTTTGCCACCACAGGAACAAATTATATTTGAAAGTATAATAAAATAGAAAATCTACTTTAATTAGTAATATTATTGCACAATATTAAGTGTTTTTGTATTAAATAAATGCAGCCTATATGAGCATAAGAGACTTATGAAAAAACTCACTTACCCAAACTTTTAAACAGCAGTGTATATAATTTTATAATATCTATAAACTAGAAATGATTCATCTCATTGTATCACTGTAAGCACAGTGGTTTACCCGTGATATTTCTTGCCCATACCATATCTGTGGTGCACAATAATATTTCCATAGTATATTCCTAAATTAGAGTACCATCAAATGACCTTGTCATTGCTCTGTAATAATAACATCACTGTAACAAGACAGTATTTTTGCAACAGAACTCCATGCAGCATTTTTAACCTGTAAAAATACACTTGATTGTTTAATCAAAACACATTAGAGTTGTACATTTGAGAAATGTGGCTATAGTAGCCTATATTAACAGTTCATCCGTGAAACGCATGCTAAATATAAAGAGAGACGACCTAATCGGTCTCCCTCTAGCTACAGAAGGCAGATGAGGTTACTATCGGACAAAGCTTATTCTAAGCTCTGGGACAACAGGAGGCTGCTGCCCAAATGTCAGTTTAATGCAGCATAATGTGTTTTCATATTAAAACGGTATTATGTAATATAAAAGGATATAAAAATCATATGAAATTTCCATTCCAAAATTATGAAGACTTTTTTTTTTTGAATATTTTGCAATGGATTATGCATTTAAAATAAGTCATGCAATCTATGACAACAGGAAAGTATATATAAGTGCACAGCGTTTTAGATGGTAAAGTCATGGAGTCGGTGAGGGTTATTCTGGTTCATCTGAAATAAACACATCACTGATGCCTGCTTTAAACATACTTTTTTTTTAATGCAGCTTATTAAAAATGTGTTTCACAAATAGGAAATCTGATTACTAAATGAATGTTTAAATCTTACCATTATGATGGAGTTGGTCTCTGTAGTATTGTTGACTGAAAAGGCTGCCATGAGACATGCCATTCCTGTAAAATGTGCTGCGACAGACTGCGCTTCTGGCCAGTGCAGTGAGATGCGGCATGTGTTTGGTGCTCCACGCTCTCCTCGCGTCTGTTATTGTTTACACCTGCGCTGGGTGTTCAGAGGGTGACGTCACTGGCCGTGCAGCAGCGGCGGAGGAGGAGGAGGACGCGCGCGGGACACAGGACGCGTGTTTGCGATGAAATGAATGGAACACACGAAACGGAACGCACCGCCGAGGCCTCGCGGCGCGTTTTAAAAAGCTGAACTGCTTTCATAAAGCGCGACACATCGACAGCCACTAGAAAGCAAATACATTGAATATTTAGACTGTAAGCCAGAATTAAAAATGCATAAATGTATAGTCCAAATATAGCACTCTGTGTACATACATACATAAAATCAAAATGTTTACAAAAATGACATATCATTTAGTTCGTTATAGGCTAGTATATATGCATATATATATATATATATATACAGTGGGGCAAAAAAGTATTTAGTCAGCCACCAATTGTGCAAGTTCTCCCACTTAAAAAGATGAGAGAGGCCTGTAATTTTCATCATAGGTATACCTCAACTATGAGAGACAAAATGAGAAAAAAAATCCAGAAAATCACATTGTAGGATTTTTAAAGAATTAATTGGTAAAGTCCTCGGTAAAATAAGTATTTGGTCACCTACAAACAAGCAAGATTTCTGGCCCTCACAGACCTGTAACTTCTTCTTTAAGAGGCTCCTCTGTCCTCCACTCATTACCTGTATTAATGGCATCTGTTTGAACTCATTATCAGTATAAAAGACACCTGTCCACAACCTCAAACAGTCACACTCCAAACTCCACCATGGCCAAGACCAAAGAGCTGTCAAAGGACACCAGAAACAAAATTGTAGACCTGCACCAGGCTGGGAAGACTGAATCTACAATAGGTAAGCAGCTTGGTGTGAAGAAATCAACTGTGGGAGCAATTATTAGAAAATGGAAGACACACAAGACCACTGATAATCTCCCTCGATATGGGGCTCCACGCAAGATCTCACCCCATGGGGTCAAAATGATCACAAGAACTGTGAGCAAAAATCCCACAACCACACGGGGGGACCTAGTGAATGACCTGCAGAGAGCTGGGACCAAAGTAACAAAGGCTACCATCAGTAACACACTGCACCGCCAGGGACTCAAATCCTGCAGTGCCAGACGTGTCCCCCTGCTTAAGCCAGTACATGTCCAGGCCCGTCTGAAGTTTGCTAGAGAGCATTTGGATGATCCAGAAGAGGATTGGGAGAATGTCATATGGTCAGATGAAACCAAAATAGAACTTTTTGGTAAAAACTCAACTTGTCGTGTTTGGAGGAGAAAGAATGCTGAGTTGCATCCAAAGAACACCATACCTACTGTGAAGCATGGGGGTGGAAACATCATGCTTTGGGGCTGTTTTTCTGCAAAGGGACCAGGACGACTGATCCATGTAAACGAAAGAATGAATGGGGCCATGTATCGTGAGATTTTGAGTGAAAACCTCCTTCCATCAGCAAGGGCACTGAAGATGAAACGTGGCTGGGTCTTTCAGCATGACAATGATCCAAAACACACCGCCCGGGCAACGAAGGAGTGGCTTCATAAGAAGCATTTCAAGGTCCTGGAGTGGCCTAGCCAGTCTCCAGATCTCAACCCCATAGAAAATCTTTGGAGGGAGTTGAAAATCCATGTTGCCCAGCGACAGCCCCAAAACATTACTGCTCTAGAGGAGATCTGCATGGAGGAATGGGCCAAAATACCAGCAACAGTGTGTGAAAACCTTGTGAAGACTTACAGAAAACATTTGACCTCTGTCATTGCCAACAAAAGGTGTATATAACAAAGTATTGAGATGAAATTTAGTTATTGACCAAATACTTATTTTCCACCATAATTTGCAAATAAATTATTTAAAAATCCTACAATGTGATTTTCTGGATTTTTTTTCTCATTTTGTCTCTCATAGTTGAGGTATACCTATGATGAAAATTACAGGCCTCTCTCATCTTTTTAAGTGGGAGAACTTGCACAATTGGTGGCTGACTAAATACTTTTTTCCCCCACTGTATATGCTATAATGTACTGTATAGTATAGAGCTAAAATGTGATACTGTAAATAATTGAGTATATCAGTTCACTACCCAGAGCCTGTAAATAGAAGTTGAATATTGTCAATAGCCAATGCACTGCTCAAATTTTTATTCTACCAGTGCAGAATGCACTGAGAACAGGTTTAATGCACACTCCCTCTGGTGGCTGATTACTGAAAATGACTTTTATTGGCAGAGAAGTGAAAAGCCATAATCATCATCTTTTATGCCCAATTTAGTATGCTTTAGAATGAATGAATGAATAAATGAATCAATTAATAACATGGAAGAATGTTCAGCTAGGTAAGGTTCTTTACCCAACACTTCTGACAGTTTTGAAACCAGTGTGTGAGCGAGTGTGTGTGTGTGTGTGTGCACCTACTTAACCATATTTTGGGGACAAATGTGTACACATAAGTGAGCAGAACCTGACAAAATCACAGAAAACCTCAATTTGGGGACGTCCTCATTTGTAGAACTGGTTGTAAAATAAAGTAAACAAAGTTTGTTTGTTTTTTAATTGCATAAAGTTTTCTGTGAGGGGTAGGGATGCGTTTAGGTTAAAAAGTGTATAACTATCTGTATATAAAAACAATAGAAGTCTATGTAATGTCCCCATTTACATAGCTAAGTAAATGTGTGTGTGTGTGTGTGTGTGTGTGTGTGTGGAGAAAGGGTCCTGGTCACAAGGTCTTGCATGTGAGCTGCTGTTGCTGCTGCAGTGGGTCCTGAATAGTGCATTTTTTGCTGACAGCATTCCTGGCCATACATAGTTGCACAACTACCTGTTTATCAATGATTTTCCACTGCAGAAACACACACATATATAAGTCTTAAATGAGGTCCTTCTAAACATAATGGTGCAGGATGTAGCCTACTTTTTACATTAACAATGATACTTCTATCAGCAGTGATTCTGATCAGGTATTAGCATACAGTGAAGGAAAATTACCCATAACTTGTACAAAACAATACAAATGAAAGAAAGAAATGCAAATAAATATACCTTGCCGTGTTACAAATCAGGAAAAAAACTAACAATACAAATAAAACCACTATAACCAATTGATCCAGATTCATCCAATACCTACAGTAAAACAAAACAAACTAAAACAAATCTATAATCGCATGTATCTCTAAAACAAATACATATGCACCTTTGTGTAATATTGTGATTGAAGTAGGTATAAAATATTGGTTACACTTTATTTTAAGGTGTCCTTGTTACAGTGTAATTATACATACAAGTACTGAGTAATATTAATTAACTACATGTACTTACTACATGGTTAGGATTAGGGCTTGGTTTAGGGTTACTTGCATATAATTATGTATAATAAATTGTTATTATATTAGGAAGTACATGTAACATATGGAACAAGGAAACCTTCAAATAAAGTGTAACCAAAATATTTCCTAAAACAATTACACTTACACAGTTAAACTGTACATATAACTGAAAGAAAGACCTGCAACCACAATGCAGCGTTACATCATTAAACGGACAAGCATGATATAACAAGCCTATTATACTTTTTAAGGCTAAAGTTTTTTTACATTTCAGTTTTTAACAATATCACACTTAAGATTAGATTTTTTTTTATAAACCGATAAAAGCAGTTCTTATATTTAATACAAATATTATTTATTTCTTTGCATGCATAACGGGCATAAGTTATGAAACAGCAGCTAGGCTTATGGGTAAACCAAGTCCTTTTCAAAACACGCTGTGATTAGACAGAAAATACAGACACACACTCATCACTGGAATGAAAACTATGTTATTTACAGTAGCATTGACAGGGCCCCCAACCTCCCTCCCTCCCTCCCCTCTACCAGAGCTGCTGTACCATATAAATGTGAGAGACGTCAGCCATCCGGCCAGAGATGCAATGAGCTACAACATGAGTGCGCTGGGACTGATTCTTATAACTCTGCTGCTGCTGACAGCGGGTGAAGGTACAAGTGCATTTAAACAATAGAATATAGCCTTGCAACTAGTCTTGATGTGTAGGTATTGGTAGTAGTATTACAAGAAAGGTGTGGCTGCTGATGTGCATTTGCTGGTTAATGGCATTATTACTTACTGGCAAAGACAACAGTTTAGACTTGTTTTAACTCCGTTTTAACTTTTCCCGAAAGCTAATGACACAGATGTACAGGGCTGGACTTGCGGATATCGAGGGCTGTGCAGGAAGCACTGCTACGCGCAGGAGTACATGATTGGCTACCATGGTTGCCCTCGAAGATACAGGTACTCAAATGTTCTTCAGTGAATGTTATTGTATACAGATGTGAATTACATTGTACTGTGAATTGTACAAAAGTATATCTGCAGAAATGTACTTTCAATGGAGCAACCGGGTGGGTGGGTGGAGCAACCGGGTGGAGCAACTGGATGGATGGATGGATTCAGTTGTGCCTAATTATCCTTATCCATGCCTAAAAAGTTACACAATTAAATCTTGCCGAAATATTTTTTCCTCACCTTTACATTTCTCAATATTTTTTTTTATTCTTTTGTAGGTGCTGTGCTTTGCGATTTTAACCTATAACCTACTTATGAAGATGCTCCTGCTTACCAAGACGGCGTGCAGAACCTCTTCTTTCACAGAAAATTTGAAATGCTGTGTTGATTTACGAATGTTAGCATAAAGGTGCGGTCACGTCAGCCAAATTTCTCAGGCAGATGTATGAAGTCACTTTCAAACCAAGCAGCTTTCTGTTGGTCAGCGAGGCGAAATCTGTTAAATGTGACCGCACCTCAAGAATGATTTTTTGCTGCAAAATGTCACCAAGAGTTTGCATTATTCTGTCACCTTCTTAAACAATCACCTAAAAAAAAATCTGCAAAAGTAACAGCGAATAAGATCCACATTTTGATTGCCAAAAGGATCTGCCAATATGCACTCAGAATTTAGATTGACCCATTGTTAATTATTAGACTGGTCACTGTATGCAGTATATTTGTTTGGTATCTGCTCTAATTGGATTAATGGAGAAAGCAGCTCAGCTTTGGTTTCCACGGTATGACCTGCATTGAGTAACAAGAGTTTGCTGACCCACATATCTCATAACAGGGCAACAATCCCATCCAATACATAAAGGGCAAATGCAAGTTTGACGTCTTTTAACAGTTCGGTCATGAAGCAGCTGGATTGCTGAATGCTTTGTGTTGTAATTTATGGTGTTTCAATTAAATAAAATACATCTTTTAAGAAGGTTTAAAGAAAGTTTTTTTTTTCTTCAAAATGCCAGTTGTGTCTAACGTTAATTGTTTTGACTGTGATACAGGACAAAGGTATAATAAAATGTATTTAGTCTACATTGGCAGGTCGACCTGCCACAGAATTAAAAATTAAATTAAATATATTTGCAAGTTTTTATCTCATTATCTCTCGCAATTAAGGTTATATCCCAAATGCGTCGGACTTAAATCGGTCATAAAATCTAAATATAAAACAAATTTCCACCTAATGCGGTGTATAGTCTTCAGTGTTGTAGAGGAACGCGCGTGATCACACTCACAGATCCACTTTATTGGATGGGGCCAAATGTGAGTCATTCCATCTATGTGCATCAGCGTGTTCAAAGCACAATGGAACAAACCCCCACAGATCTGTTTACACAGGCTCTGCCGTCACAATAATGTCTAGGGCACAGACTGACTTTCAAAGGATAAAAGTGTAATATGTGAGTCACTAAAAATACTACCAGTGTTTTTCAGGTGTTATTTGTTGCATCTTATTTACGGTATTGTATGCGGTATTACATGTGATCTAACATGCAAACCTCACACAGTTGATTTTAAAGTCTCAATATATATTTTCTTCCATATTATGATCATTTGAGAGAAAAGGATTGTTGAAAAATATGAATGAGGATGGGGTTCTGTTCATCGGTTGTTGAGTGGATGGAGGCAGACCTGAATGCGTGCTTGGACTAAATGATTGGAGAGGTCTTGTATGAGTCACAAGATACTGTATGAGTCTGTTGTTTCACTGGAACGTCAAGTTATTACATTTTAATAAAAAAAAAAAAAAAAAGAGCTCAAAATATTTTGTGGAATATGGTGCCGTTTCATTTGCATTATGTAAATAATGAAGTCAATATTATGGTTTCTAAAATTCTGAAAGTCTGCTGGAATATGAGATTATTAACTGGAACTTTGAATCACAAACACCTTATTCTGAATGTTTATTTGTATAAAATGTTCTGAATATTTGTCTGAAAGCAAGCCTGGGTGAAATAGTTATGTAAATTCAAGCAAATAAAGAAATACATTTTTGTTTTAAAAAGTAGATATAAATAAAAAAAATAGCCATCTTTACAGAGCTAAGACTGTGCCTGCTTAATCCGAGCAAAAATTTAATGCTGAATAAAATAATATAAATAATAATAAAAGTTTTGCTTTGACCCACCTTATGCCCTAGTATCAAGTATGCTGTGTAAATGCATTCATGCCACCTCTGAGCAGCATTATACAGTCTATATAAACACACCAACATGCCACTTCATTTCCGGCGATATCGTTGACATAATTGCAAAGATATTATTTAAACTGAGCTGGATGTTGACATCACTGAATTCAATGATGAACTGTCTTGAACTGAAAAATGAGTGTTTACTATTGTCACTTTGCATTATTGACACTATTTTCCTAATTAATGCGGTTCAGTTGCTTTGACACAATCTGTATTGTTAAAAGCGCTATATAAATAAAGGTGACTTGACTTCAAAAGTGCTTCTGTGCCACCTTTGACCTTTGCAGTGTAACTTTACTGTCATTTGTATTTAAAAAAACAACAAAAAAAAAACAATCGAGGCTTAAACCGAATGTTGAAACCATTTACATGGTTTACATGGTGCATTCCTATTTTTTATAAATGTGAGTAATATAGCAATAATCTTGTCATAAATATAAAAAACAGAATATGAATTTTTGATTGGGAAATGAGTAGAGGTGGTCAAAAAAGAATAAATCATATCTAGCAAACGTTATTAAAACGAAAGATTGACATCAAACAGAAATGTAAAAACGCCGTATCACTTTATTTTGTAATTTTTTTGTTTGTTTGATAACAGGCACATACAATATGGGTAGCTAAAGCTGAATATTATTAGACAAAAATGCTTCGAATCCTTAATGGAATTCAGCAAGTTAATATTTCACAATATGGAGAAACAAACTGCATCCAGATGTACAGTTCTTTCAAAATAAATTATTACTTGATAATTTATTTACTTGAAAATATCTGTTGACAGAACACAGAAAGAAAACCAGGAAATTCAGGTCCATTCACTCCTGAGTGTGAAAAACAGGTCAAAACTGATCCAATGCTCAAAAAAAAGAAAAAGAAAAAAAAGAAACATAAAACGATTATCCCTGGTTTAAGTTTAAATGGCCAAACACAAAAGTATCAAAATGACACGAGGACAATTCAACAGATGAACACAGTCCCTCCTTTGCTTTTCATTGTCCTTCAAAGCCTAAACAACAAGTATAAATCAGAATAGAAAAAAACGTGCAGATTGAAAACATTTTATAAAGCTTGGCATATATATATATATATATATATATATATATACACAGGCATATATAGGCATCATGAAATGTGGGCGCACTATCGTGGATCACTTCCAAAAACACTCCTAAAGTAAGGAGTGACTTATTTTGCTTTATGAATACATAAATATCCTCGCAACACCTAAAAACTTATTGGGAACTGTTTTTGATTATGAAAAAAATTTAATTTATAGACCAACTTTTCATTTTTGGGTGTACTATTTCTTTAAAGTGAGCGTTTAAATTTACCTAACATCTACTGATATTGAAGAACACTGTTTTTTCTTATCTATGCATGTTGTAGAAATGTCTGGATTTTTATTAAGAGCATTATAATGAGAGACCGGTATAAACTGAACTTGCATTTAAAAAACAAAACAAAAAACATGGTTAACAAAAAAGAAACCTGGACCATTTCTTTAACAGAAGAAATAGAACGCTGTGCTGACCTTATGTAATGTTATAGCTGCGAGCTAAACTCTGATAACACTCACTAGCCTGAATAAAAGCTGTGTTTGTCCCACTAAAGCCACCGTTACTGCATGTGCGGTGTCACTGAAGGCCAGTGCCGTCAGTTTCTACTAAACGTTACTTTGTCTTCTTGTCTGTGGCCAATGTATCATGAAGCTTTGAGACAGATTTCTCATATTGGTCCATCACCAGCGTCCCGTTCTCGTCGAAGAACACCCCGACTGACTTCGTAAACTCCATCTCTCTCGACTGCTTGGTTTTCCCATCAGTGAAACACAATCTTAAAGTATACTGGTCATCAAACCTAATGGAAACAAGTCAGTAAGTTGCAATCAATTAATATTTAGAAGAATTACACTACAGTATGATGTTTTTCTTTTTCTGAAGAATGGCATTGCTATACAGTGAACAGGCGTTTAGTACAGTAGGGTTGTTAAAATGGCTGAAAAATTAAATTCAATTTGTGTACTTAAATATCAAAATTTGAATTATATTCGAATTTAAAATGCATAATTTCAGGTAGGGTGAAGAAAAGCTTTTGGCTTCTCTTCTGAGGCCACAAGAGGGCGCATTGAGCAAAATATTACTAATGCACGTTTATTCAACGCATAAGAAAACATGACTATCTGAGAGAAAAAAACAATTAAGTTGCTTAAACAACTAGAAACAAAACAGCATCATGTATGTATACATAGTTTAATACAAAGGGCAGAAAGCCAATCACACGGAGTACATTTTTTGTTTAAAAACATGAGATGCAGTGGGATGGGGAAAAAATCAATTAATATTTAGAAGAATTACACTACAGTATGATGTTTTTCTTTTTCTGAAGAATGGCATTGCTATACAGTGAACAGGTGTTTAGTACAGTAGGGTTGTTAAAATGGCTGAAAAATTAAATTCAATTTGTGTACTTAAATATCAAAATTTGAATTATATTCGAATTTAAAATGCATAATTTCAGGTAGGGTGAAGAAAAGCTTTTGGCTTCTCTTCTGAGGCCACAAGAGGGCGCATTGAGCAAAATATTACTAATGCACGTTTATTCAACGCATAAGAAAACATGACTATCTGAGAGAAAAAAACAATTAAGTTGCTTAAACAACTAGAAACAAAACAGCATCATGTATGTATACATAGTTTAATACAAAGGGCAGAAAGCCAATCACACGGAGTACATTTTTTGTTTAAAAACATGAGATGCAGTGGGATGGGGAAAAACCCGCCATAAAGTCTCGATATATGTTTTTTCAAAGTTAAAATTGCATGGCTTTATAAACATGTGGCTCCTTTGTGCTACACGCGAGTGCAACTGTGATAGATGTCCCTCTAGAAAATGCGCAAAATGTGTTCTGTGTGAACGGCTTGCTTTCAGTTTTGATGTAAACAAGATCTCCGCATTGATGTTCTCTTTTTCCGCAATATTTTTAATGAACAACGCAGCAGCGCCGCATCTAGTGGCTTCAACTGGATAGGCTAACAAAAACATTGTAACGCAACGACACTTACATCGTCATCGCATCTCATGCGCCACTGATAAGGCTGTCTCCTTAACGCACAACTAAAATTCAAATGCAATGTTTTTGCATTCGAATGTGGATTTTTATTTTAAATTAGATTCAATTTAAACTTTTTTTGCCAGCCCTATTTTACAGTACTGTCATTAAATAGTTATGGTTAGGGGTTTGTTCTACCCCCTATGGGTGTGCAATATTGATCAAAAATAAAGTATTGTTATTTTTGGAGATTTTTTTCAATAACAATTTTTGGCAATATTTTGTGCGAGTGTGTTTAAGTGCTCTTCCCATGGATTAGGCCTGTCTAAAACCACCAGTAGGTGGCAGCCCAACCTAGTCTTCATGAGCGATTCATTGAATCATTCATTCAAACGATTTGTTCAAAATGGTTGGTTCATTTAGAAACAAAGCAAATTACTGTCTTTATGAATGGGTCATTGAATCATTGACTCAAATGATTTGATTAGAAGCGGATTCATTCAAGTATGAAACATCGCAGTGTTTCTCTGAGAGGCACAACCGTTTTGCTCCGACTTTTTTGGAACTATTTTTGTTGGTGAAACATAGCAAGAACAGCCAATATTGTGTCCAAAATGTAATTCAGTATTATCAACGTTGTTATATTACATTACAATATTACATTTTGGATCACGCTAATATTTCGGAAAACTGCACGCTTGCTTGTGTGATAATACTTATGTCATATATCTTACAACTCATAAAGGGATATTTTTTGCAACAAAAACAGGGCAACAGGGTTTTTGCAGGATTTTTAAGTGCAAATTTAAGACTTTTTAATACCTTTTTAAGACCTGCACAAATAAAATTAATACCATATGAGCTGGGTAGGACAATGTCTATAGTACCATATTATACTGTAAAATGACTGTAAAAAGTAAGGCTGGGTAAAAAAATATCGATATCTCAGTTTTAATCAATTCTCATTTTTACAGAACGATATCGATTCTTAAATCCCAAGAATCGATTAGTCTAGCCTGTTTTCAGTTAATGGATGGAACATTTAAAGGCACCTCCCATCCAATAAATCGCAATAAGCATTGTGCTTTGGTACTTTTAATATGAAACAAAGACTCAGATTTTAAATTCTGTCCATTGTATTGCAGTATTTAAACAATAAATGCCATTTTGGCGCTGTTTAATGTGGAGTGACAGATCGCTGTAGCGCGGCGCACCTCAGTTCAATAGAAGCGGCAGTGCGGGGTGCACGTGAACTGATCATCTTCTCCACATTAATACCAGCTTCAGCACAATAGATTTTAATTTATGTTTGAATAAAGCCATCAAGTTTTTATGACAGCCACCATTATGTTTATATATATATATATATATATATATATATATATATAAACGAATTGAAGTATTAGTATTAATTGTAAATTGTAATTGTAATTTTATTATTTAAAAAACTTCATTGTGTAATTTTAGCAGTTGTATATTAGCCTACAAATCAGTAAATTTTAACCTTCAATATTATAGTAATGTAGTACCAACTGACTCATGTATATCTTACAGCTTTAGGTGAGATTTTTTTCCCTTGAGAAAATTTGGCATGTACTGTACCTGATATTTATCCAAAATAATCGACATTGAATCGAAAGCTTATGAATGAGAATCAAATCGTAAAATTTGTGTCAAAACCCAGCCCTAGTAAAAAAAAAAGCATAATTTACAGTTCATATACATGTTTTCACAAAAACAAAAAAGTTTTATAAAATGATAATCTTTACATTTCAGCCTTTAAACCATTTTTAAGAAAATGGAGTTGAAAGTATGAATTATTATATTAATTTAAACAATTATCATCAATAAATTATATAAATTAAATAAATTAGGGGTTTTGCAATATTAACAAAAAATATCTCTATATTTTCTGGGATTTTATCGATAACGATAATTAGACGATATTTTGCTGAGTGTGTTACTGTGCTGATATCTTAAGGACTACCGTGGACAGCCGACTCTTGAATTTTATTATATATATATATATATATATATATATATATATTATGTGTGGTCAGTTCACATCAGTGATAGAAATTAATATTTTCCAGTAAGTTGTATGGCCATTTTTAACTTTAAAAGTGTGCAACAACTTTTGAGTCAAATTCTTGCATTTGGGCTGTTACCAGTTTTCAGTTAATGGATGGAACATTTAAAGGCACCTCCCATCCAATAAATCGCAATAAGCATTGTGCTTTGGTACTTTTAATATGAAACAAAGACTCAGATTTTAAATTCTGTCCATTGTATTGCAGTATTTAAACAATAAATGCCATTTTGGCGCTGTTTAATGTGGAGTGACAGATCGCTGTAGCGCGGCGCACCTCAGTTCAATAGAAGCGGCAGTGCGGGGTGCACGTGAACTGATCATCTTCTCCACATTAATACCAGCTTCAGCACAAAATAATCATGACTAAACATCCGAAGGTTTAAGTTAAAAGAGAGTACAACTTTACAATCCGTATCCCATCTCGTGTAATCTCTCAATTAGTGTTTCACGCAAATACGTCAATATAACGGCTTCATATTCTGTGTGGTCAGTTCACATCAGTGATAGAAATTAATATTTTCCAGTAAGTTGTATGGCCATTTTTAACTTTAAAAGTGTGCAACAACTTTTGAGTCAAATTCTTGCATTTGGGCTGTTACCAAGCAAATGAAATCAGTTTCCACAAAATGTATCTTTCCAATGCAGAGGAAACACAGAAGCTGCATCTTAAGTGGCATTTAGATGCATTTACACATAAACAATGTGTCACGTAACGTCACATTTACCTCAGAGAAAACATATTCGGTGACCATAAATTCATCAGTAAGCTGGAAAAATAAACTGTAGAGAGGGGCATTTTGCTAAATATACACCATATAACATGTTTATTATATTTTTTAATTTTTGAATAAATCCAAGTTTTTATGATAGCCACCATTTAAATGTTTATATATATATATATATATATATATATATATATATAAACGAATTGAAGTATTAGTATTAATTGTAAATTGTAATTGTAATTTTATTATTTAAAAAACTTCATTGTGTAATTTTAGCAGTTGTATATTAGCCTACAAATCAGTAAATTTTAACCTTCAATATTATAGTAATGTAGTACCAACTGACTCATGTATATCTTACAGCTTTAGGTGAGATTTTTTTCCCTTGAGAAAATTTGGCATGTACTGTACCTGATATTTATCCAAAATAATCGACATTGAATCGAAAGCTTATGAATGAGAATCAAATCGTAAAATTTGTGTCAAAACCCAGCCCTAGTAAAAAAAAAAGCATAATTTACAGTTCATATACATGTTTTCACAAAAACAAAAAAGTTTTATAAAATGATAATCTTTACATTTCAGCCTTTAAACCATTTTTAAGAAAATGGAGTTGAAAGTATGAATTATTATATTAATTTAAACAATTATCATCAATAAATTATATAAATTAAATAAATTAGGGGTTTTGCAATATTAACAAAAAATATCTCTATATTTTCTGGGATTTTATCGATAACGATAATTAGACGATATTTTGCTGAGTGTGTTACTGTGCTGATATCTTAAGGACTACCGTGGACAGCCGACTCTTGAATTTTATTATATATATATATATATATATATATATATATATTATGTGTGGTCAGTTCACATCAGTGATAGAAATTAATATTTTCCAGTAAGTTGTATGGCCATTTTTAACTTTAAAAGTGTGCAACAACTTTTGAGTCAAATTCTTGCATTTGGGCTGTTACCAAGCAAATGAAATCAGTTTCCACAAAATGTATCTTTCCAATGCAGAGGAAACACAGAAGCTGCATCTTAAGTGGCATTTAGATGCATTTACACAAGGGATGTGCGGGTCTAGTCGACTAAACGGTACAGCTCCTACTAGTCGACACTGAAAACAATAGGCCCTTTCGCACCGCTTTAGTTCCAGAACTAAATGTACGGTACTAAAGTACTGGGACGATTTTGCGCGAACTATATATTTCCCAGTACCATATAAATGGTTGCATTCGCACCGAGAATGTGTACTAAGAAGTGACGTAAGCCGGTCGACAGCGTCGTCATTTGTGCGCGGCGTTCAACAACAGAAACAAAGAAGAACATTAACAACAGGAGGATGGAGGATGCTGTGATCGGAGCTGTTTTTGTTGTGTCTCGCGGGTTTCACAATAATGGACATGGAAAGTCGACGTATACGTAAAGCGATTGAAAGAACGGAAAGGAGGACTAAGAATCTCCAACGACAACTGGCAGTGCTACATTTGCTACAAGTGCCTGCACTTCAGCATCCGTCCATCTATCGCTGTTCTCCATACTTGCGAAATAAGTTGACATGTTTACAGTATGTTTACACAGCGTTTTAAATCATGGCGGGTGAGGGCGTTTTCGTACGCGTTTGGCCAATCAATGTCTACTTGCGTCACGATTAGTACCAGTTGTGCTGGTTAGACCCTGCTCCGGAGTAGGAGCTAATTTGGTTCTCGAAAAAGGCAGTCTGGTACTAAAATCGCTCTCAGTTCCGGCGGTGCGAACATGCCGAAAAGTGGGTAGTTCCACAATTAGTTCTGGTACTATTAAAAGGTTCCTGCGGTGCGAAAGGCCCTAATAGTTGATTATACGACATAAAAACAAAAGAAAAACAAAAACAGGATTTTCTCATTCACATTACCATCATTTTAACATTGCATTTAAACCATTTTAAATAAGTTAAAATAAAACGTTTGAAAAAGAATACATTATTTTTAAAAGTTTATCTGGGCGGAAACTACATTTTTACCTCAGACCTCACATGCGTTTTCTTCGTGTCACTGTTAATAAGTGAGTCATTGCGATTGAACCGAATCATTTAAACGCTTGATTCATTCATGAAGGAAACACCGTCATGTTGCTCAGAGATGCAAAACAGTGCTGCTTTTTGTTGGCGAAAAAGAGCAAAAGCAGGAAAAACGGTGTCTAAAACGTAAGTCTCTTAACTTCTTGTTTATTGCACTGTTGTATAAAATAACACATTTGATCACATTTGTAATCATGATGACTTTGAGAAAAAAACGGCACTCAACTATATGAAATTATATAAATATATACATTTTCTGCCCCCATATCTTGAATTATGTGATCATTCTAAATGCATTTTAATAGACCGATTCATTCAGTGGAAGAACGCACTATAAATGCGCGCACTAGTTTAACCTATATTAACTGACTTCATCACCTAATGTATGTGTGCAGACTGTGCACGGTTTTGTTCGCTTTTTGCGATGTACTCAATGTCGAATCGTACGCCGTTAAAACAACAATTACGATATTAAATCGCAGACTAATCGTATATATCGCACACCCTACTGTTTTGATTTTTATAATGCATCGCCTTCTTATCGATCCACCAGTTCACATTTAAAGCTCTGCGTGTTTGCAGGGTAAAAACATGGGCCGATTTACGCATTGGTCTGAGTACCAGTTGTGCTGGTTAGACCCTGCTCCGGAGTAGGAGCTAATTTGGTTCTCGAAAAAGGCAGTCTGGTACTAAAATCGCTCTCAGTTCCGGCGGTGCGAACATGCCGAAAAGTGGGTAGTTCCACAATTAGTTCTGGTACTATTAAAAGGTTCCTGCGGTGCGAAAGGCCCTAATAGTTGATTATACGACATAAAAACAAAAGAAAAACAAAAACAGGATTTTCTCATTCACATTACCATCATTTTAACATTGCATTTAAACCATTTTAAATAAGTTAAAATAAAACGTTTGAAAAAGAATACATTATTTTTAAAAGTTTATCTGGGCGGAAACTACATTTTTACCTCAGACCTCACATGCGTTTTCTTCGTGTCACTGTTAATAAGTGAGTCATTGCGATTGAACCGAATCATTTAAACGCTTGATTCATTCATGAAGGAAACACCGTCATGTTGCTCAGAGATGCAAAACAGTGCTGCTTTTTGTTGGCGAAAAAGAGCAAAAGCAGGAAAAACGGTGTCTAAAACGTAAGTCTCTTAACTTCTTGTTTATTGCACTGTTGTATAAAATAACACATTTGATCACATTTGTAATCATGATGACTTTGAGAAAAAAACGGCACTCAACTATATGAAATTATATAAATATATACATTTTCTGCCCCCATATCTTGAATTATGTGATCATTCTAAATGCATTTTAATAGACCGATTCATTCAGTGGAAGAACGCACTATAAATGCGCGCACTAGTTTAACCTATATTAACTGACTTCATCACCTAATGTATGTGTGCAGACTGTGCACGGTTTTGTTCGCTTTTTGCGATGTACTCAATGTCGAATCGTACGCCGTTAAAACAACAATTACGATATTAAATCGCAGACTAATCGTATATATCGCACACCCTACTGTTTTGATTTTTATAATGCATCGCCTTCTTATCGATCCACCAGTTCACATTTAAAGCTCTGCGTGTTTGCAGGGTAAAAACATGGGCCGATTTACGCATTGGTCTGAACTCTGAACAAAACAACAGGCTTTTTGAAAATGCTCATTCTCTGGCGCGTTTGGTAGAAATATCACTGTTTCCCCAGTAACGGCAGAACACAAAGCAGCGCAGCACCGGACTTTGAACATGCAGCGCTCCCGTTTATTTAATGAAATTGTAGCCTTTTTTGAAGTTTAATCATCACATTCAGCTATATCGCAATTCTGGTCTTTCCATACCCAAATTTAAGACCTCTTGAAATAATAATTAAGACTTTACTGTACAATTTAAAACTTTTTAAGGCCTTAAATTTGATACAACTAAATGTAAGACTTTTTAAGACCCCGCGGAAACCCTGGGGCAAGTATCAGTGAATGCTTTTGGACTCTCAAGACATTTGCTTTTTTTTTTTTTTTTTTGCAAAAGAGAGTGACACTTGACTATGTCAGCATGCATATCGTTAAAACAACAATTACGATATTATCGTAGATGATAAATATCGCACACCCCTACTATGCTGAAAACAGAATCCAGTCATAAAAATGGAATTAACAGTATAATGTGGAATGTCACAGAATTTGGCAAATTTTGGAAGAATAAATAAATCGAATCAAATTGCTTTGTGAAGTAGTGTCTATGAATATTGAGGTGCAGAAAGACTGCTATTTAAATGAGAAATCTGAATGTTCTGAGTGTCTACGTTGTAAATGGGCGCCGCAGTTGCGTTTACTAAACATTCATACAAGCACACGTGATGCTCGTGGTGTTTTCAGTGTCTGCAATCTGACTATATGAGACACTGCACATGAACTTCATCTCCAGAACTGCTCTGAAATGTCATTTCCCCAGCATTTTAACATTTCACTTAAAAAAAATAAAACACAAAAAAATATTGTTATATCATATACACACAAACACCCAAAGGTCTTCACGACAACACTTCAAAGACTTAAAAACTTGGTTTAACCTGAAATTATGACAGAAATATATTACTATTGTACAGTAGAATGTAATTCTCACAGTTAAAATAATAATAATTTTAATAGTATACTTAACTGGATTACATTTGAAAAGACTTTATATTATATATAATATTAATGTTTAATGCAGTAATTTGATTACTAATGTTTTTTGATCAGTTTAAGTCAAAATGTTGGGGGAAAAACTATTTTTTTGGGGAAAAAACTTTTAATATGGCCCTATTATTGTAAACATTAAGGTTTATGAATTCAATTGATAAGGCATGCTTTTTTAAATTAAAATTTCACTACACCATGAAAAATGAATCTAGAAAAGTTAACATGGAAAACATAGAATTTGGGAAAAATACTGAAAAAAATGAAAAAATAAAACAAATTCCATGCTGCCCTATCCAGAAAGATAACATAAATAAAATTGTATAAATAAAAGGAGAAAAACAAATGCAAAATTAACCTTTTTAGGCTAGAGGACAGCTGCCAGATGTGATCCGGGTCCATACCAGCTGGGTCCTTCTGCATGGCCATGAGGAAGATGTTATTCTCTTTGTAAGAGGTGTAGAGGGTCAAAATCCCCATCATGATGAAGTATGTGTGGATCTGTTAAGGATAAAAACTGAAGCAGTGCCCAGTTTACATTCATTTACACTGTCAAACCTCCCATGTAAATCATCTCCACTCTGTTGGGAGTTTGCTCAGTGAAGGATATGATATGACGCAGCACGCCAGTACAGGCTTGGACTCTGGGAACGGGTGCAGGTAGTCCCAAATTAAAGCTACAATGGCGAAAAGGCAGGAGACCGTGCAAATGAACAGTCGTCCATCGACTAAGGTGAAGTTCTCAATGTAGCAGTATTTTTCGATCAGAACCTATGGTTGAAAAAGAAAGGCGATTTAGTACAAAACTCAAAAATATGCTAATAAATTACTCCGGAAACCACATGATAATCCATACACATACAGTTGAGGTCAGAATTACTAGCCCCCTTGGTAAATATGAGCAAAGGCGGCTGTGAAAATAAGTCTACATTGTTTATCCTTTTGCTCTTCCTTTGAAAATATTCACAAAAATCTAACCTTTGATTGAAGTAAAACAATTGAAAAACTAAAGAATACAGTTCTGATGTGCAGAAAAACACTGTTGAGGTTCACAAAATAGAAAGTGGCAGTAATACAATACAGTGCCTATAGAACATCTTGAGCGAAGTGACGTGTGGCCGAGTATGGCGACCCATATTCGGAATTTGTGCTCTGCATTTAACCCATCCAAGTGCGCACACACAGTAGCGAACACACACACACACACACACACTGTGAACACACACCCGGAGCAGTCATCTTCATACCTCTTTGAAAGATTTACTTTGTCGTACAGCCTGAAATCAAAACCCATTAGAAAAAAATACCCTTTCCTGCTTTATTTACAAATGTTATAATAGAATAGAACTAGAATAACAGGGTTGGAAAAGTCCTCAGTCCCCTGATTTAATACTTCGTAAAGCCACCTTAATTACAGCCATTAATCGTTTCGGATATGTCTATATAAGCTTTGCACACATAGATTGGAGAATATTTGCCCATTCTTGCTTGCAGAATTCCTCAAGTTCAGTCAAATTCCATGGTGAGGGCCAATGGACTGCTCTCTTCTCTTCCACAAACTTTCTTTGGGATTTAAAGGTCCCATATTGTCAAAACTGAAATTTCCTGGCTTTTTTCACGATTACTGAGGTCTAGGGCCTATTTAGCTACCATATAAGTTTCAAAACAGTAAGTCCACAGTAAAATTCACACAGAATGCTTAAAGTTCTAGCCATATTTCACGAACCGTTGTGACTTCCGTAAAAAGTTGACGTCAGAACTACACAGTCACTGCCTTCAGTCACCACCCCGAGCACCGCCCACCGTCCCACTCTCCTTCTGCCAAACCCCCAGACAACATCGCGTCCATGCCATATAGAACATCTTGAGCGAAGTGACGTGTGGCCGAGTATGGCGACCCATATTCGGAATTTGTGCTCTGCATTTAACCCATCCAAGTGCGCACACACAGTAGCGAACACACACACACACACACACACTGTGAACACACACCCGGAGCAGTCATCTTCATACCTCTTTGAAAGATTTACTTTGTCGTACAGCCTGAAATCAAAACCCATTAGAAAAAAATACCCTTTCCTGCTTTATTTACAAATGTTATAATAGAATAGAACTAGAATAACAGGGTTGGAAAAGTCCTCAGTCCCCTGATTTAATACTTCGTAAAGCCACCTTAATTACAGCCATTAATCGTTTCGGATATGTCTATATAAGCTTTGCACACATAGATTGGAGAATATTTGCCCATTCTTGCTTGCAGAATTCCTCAAGTTCAGTCAAATTCCATGGTGAGGGCCAATGGACTGCTCTCTTCTCTTCCACAAACTTTCTTTGGGATTTAAAGGTCCCATATTGTCAAAACTGAAATTTCCTGGCTTTTTTCACGATTACTGAGGTCTAGGGCCTATTTAGCTACCATATAAGTTTCAAAACAGTAAGTCCACAGTAAAATTCACACAGACTGCTTAAAGTTCTAGCCATATTTCACGAACCGTTGTGACTTCCGTAAAAAGTTGACGTCAGAACTACACAGTCACTGCCTTCAGTCACCACCCCGAGCACCGCCCACCGTCCCACTCTCCTTCTGCCAAACCCCCAGACAACATCATGTCCATGCTTTTGCTGAGCAACAACAACACAGAAACATGTCGAAAAGGTTATTTTTAACCACTAAACCAGATCGGCCGACCTGTAATGCTACACTCAAAGGATGGACGATCTGACCACTCTCCTTCTGCCAAACCCCCAGAGAACATCGCGTCCATGCCATTGCTGAGCAACAACAACACGGAAACATGTCGAAAAGGGTATTTTTAACCACTAAACCAGATCGGCCGACCTGTAATGTTACACTCAAAGGATGGACGATCTGACAGGATTGTTACTATGAGGTGGATCACTTCTAACATGTGTAGTAAAGACAAACTCACCGTGTCTATCTAGTCATGATAATAATAATAAGTTTAATTTATATAGCGCCTTTCCCAAGCTCAAGGACACTGCACAATGACAGAAGCAAATACATTCCTACATACATGGACAAGACATTTTCCAAGTCCAGAACATGTGGTTGCAGTTGCATAATACAGTATTATAGAGAGGGAAATTATTATTTTTTAAAATACCATTATAACAGGTAACATTAACATGACATTATAATAGGTAATATTGGTGGAACATATAGGTTTTGAGTTTAGACTTAAATTCGTGGAGTGTGGTTATTGTCCGGAGAGCCAGGGGCAATGTGTTCCAAAGTTTGGGAGCTATAGCAGAGAAAGATCTACCTCCCATAGATAATAGGCGAAATCTCGGAACACAAAGAACTTCAACTCCAGATGATCGAAGTGGACGAGAGGGAATATATGGAGAAAGCAGGTCAGAGAGATAGGTAGGTGCAAGACCATGGAGTGACTTAAAGGTAAGCAGAAGAATTTTATAAATGATACGAGAGGACACAGGTAGCCAGTGGAGGTTGAATAGAATAGGAGTGATATGTGCAGACCGTTTAATATAAGTTCTCGCTGCAGAATTTTGAATATATTGCAATCGAGAGATTGGAGATGGAGCGTACTGGTAATCCGGAAAAAAAGAGCGTTGCAGTAATCAAGGTGAGATATGATTAAAGCATTTACTAGTAATTCAGCATCTTTTGAACTGATGAAGGAACGGAGTTTGGCAATACGGCAAAGTTGAAAAAAATGCAACTTTGGAGAGCTTACTAATATAAGCATCTAGATTTAGATTAACTGTGGCAGATGGGATAATTGACGTGGCTTCGAGGTCAAATATAGGGGCATTTGTTATGTTTTTTGTTACAGTTGGGGGCCCGACAAGTAAGATATATATTTAGTCAAATTCAAACTGAGAGAGTCGGAGCTAAGCCAAGTCCTTTAGTCTAGATTTAGATTAACTGTGGCAGATGGGATAATTGACGTGGCTTCGAGGTCAAATATAGGGGCATTTGTTATGTTTTTTGTTACAGTTGGGGGCCCGACAAGTAAGATATCCGTTTTAGTCAAATTCAAACTGAGAGAGTCGGAGCTAAGCCGAGTCCTTTAACTTGTTGACACATGACAATAGAGATGCAGTCTGGTGGAGAGAGTCAGGTCAAGTTTTAAAATAGACATTTTTGGACTGAACTTTAAGTGCTGTATTTGTGGAAAAGCAAAAACAGCACACCACCCAAAACACACCATTAATTAATTTAGGGCTGCACGATAAATCGAAATGGAATCGAGATCGCGATTGAACAGAAGCTGCGATTGTCATGCGTATCTTTCAGTGAAGCACGGTTCTGTGATCAGCAGTAAATCTCCATCCAAAGGCCAGAGAAACTCCAAATACGTCTCGCAGAAGAAACCCAGAAAACGTCTATCGCTGCAGCTTAAAAAACAGAAGATTCAACTGCTTTCATTGATTCAACGTGACTAATAAACACACGACTACGGCAATATACGGTTTATCTGAGTTCTTATTATAATTTTCATTCAAATAAAGTATATTTATAATGCAATGCCTTTATCACTGCTTAAATACTATGAAATATGTTGTGTGCCTTATTCTGTGTAAGAAGCCACATCATCTCACAGAAGGATTTATTTCAAACACTCGACTGACGTTATGAAGTGAGTTTGGAGTAAAAATATGTTATTAAATGTGGTATTTTCACATGCTTTCAGATGGAGCAGCATTTACTACACAGAGCCGTAGTTCACTGAGAAGCTATGCAAACAGCTGTCATTATCGCGAATGATTTCTTCGATTTCAGAATCGCGCAATAAAAATGTTTTGCGTAACTTGTCAGTGAACTACGGCTATGTGTAGTAAATACTGCTCCATCTGAAAGCACGTGATGATGACTTCCTGCTGATTACAGAACAGGCTTTACTAACAAAATGCGCATGACAATCGCATTCAATTAATCGTGCAGCCCTAAATTAATTAATGTCCCAACCCACGGTGAGGAGGATAGTTTGAGTGGCCAAAGACTCTTTTGAGTACAGGGTTATATGGTCAGATGAACATTTTGGCACACACACACACACACACAATATGGGTTTAAAGGGGTACACAGGGATATAAAAATACCCCATGCCCACTGTTAAACATATTCCTGTTTCTTTAATGTTGTGGGTAGGGCTGCCCCCTAATAGTCGATGAGGTCGACAAATTTGCAGAAAAAAAATCCACAGGAAGTGGTGAGGTCATGCAGTCCGTGACGGACAGATCGTTAATGGCTGGTCTTTGTGGTAATACAGTACATCCAAACACTTGCCTATCATTCATCGACCACAAATATGGCTTATCATCGGAAACATGCAAGTAGTAGCAACTTTACATGGCCGCTCAATCTAATGTTAACCTAGAAAAATGTGCGCTATACAAGTGTCTGAACAGTAGCGCTCTCACAGAATGACAGATGGAGGCGCCGGCGCACTCACTTGCTCTTAAAATACTCCATTTTAGTCATACGGATAAGAATGATACATCTTTCGAATCTGTAAAGCCTCTGCGTTTATTTGTGTGCACTCACAACACCAACAAAACATTGTGCTTTTGTAAAATAATGAAAGCAAATAGGATGCCTCTGTGAACTTGAGCGCGAAACTCTGTGTACACTTGCCTTACAGACATGAAAAATATAGCTATAGAGAGTGAAATGTCTACTTTCAAATGAAAATTCAAATCTGAGAAAAAAAATACTCAGATTATGTAATCCATATGAAACTTGCATGCAGGCACATCTATACTGTGGAGATGGTGAGTCAGTGTCGCCGAAAGGCATCATATGACGTTGCTAAAAAAATAACATTATTTTGTGTATTTGGTGTAATGAAATGTGTTTATGTGGTTTAAGGTTCAAAAAACACATTCTTTTCCACATACTGTACATTATTGTTTCTTCTCTATGCCCCGCCTTTCTGAAACGTGTCGATTTTTACAAAGCTCATCAGTCTGAGGAAGCGAGGATAAATGTGAGAGAAAAAAAAAAAAAAAAAAGGTTTTGCCAGGCGCATGACAATCGCATTCAATTAATCGTGCAGCCCTAAATTAATTAATGTCCCAACCCACGGTGAGGAGGATAGTTTGAGTGGCCAAAGACTCTTTTGAGTACAGGGTTATATGGTCAGATGAACATTTTGGCACACACACACACACACACACAATATGGGTTTAAAGGGGTACACAGGGATATAAAAATACCCCATGCCCACTGTTAAACATATTCCTGTTTCTTTAATGTTGTGGGTAGGGCTGCCCCCTAATAGTCGATGAGGTCGACAAATTTGCAGAAAAAAAATCCACAGGAAGTGGTGAGGTCATGCAGTCCGTGACGGACAGATCGTTAATGGCTGGTCTTTGTGGTAATACAGTACATCCAAACACTTGCCTATCATTCATCGACCACAAATATGGCTTATCATCGGAAACATGCAAGTAGTAGCAACTTTACATGGCCGCTCAATCTAATGTTAACCTAGAAAAATGTGCGCTATACAAGTGTCTGAACAGTAGCGCTCTCACAGAATGACAGATGGAGGCGCCGGCGCACTCACTTGCTCTTAAAATACTCCATTTTAGTCATACGGATAAGAATGATACATCTTTCGAATCTGTAAAGCCTCTGCGTTTATTTGTGTGCACTCACAACACCAACAAAACATTGTGCTTTTGTAAAATAATGAAAGCAAATAGGATGCCTCTGTGAACTTGAGCGCGAAACTCTGTGTACACTTGCCTTACAGACATGAAAAATATAGCTATAGAGAGTGAAATGTCTACTTTCAAATGAAAATTCAAATCTGAGAAAAAAAATACTCAGATTATGTAATCCATATGAAACTTGCATGCAGGCACATCTATACTGTGGAGATGGTGAGTCAGTGTCGCCGAAAGGCATCATATGACGTTGCTAAAAAAATAACATTATTTTGTGTATTTGGTGTAATGAAATGTGTTTATGTGGTTTAAGGTTCAAAAAACACATTCTTTTCCACATACTGTACATTATTGTTTCTTCTCTATGCCCCGCCTTTCTGAAACGTGTCGATTTTTACAAAGCTCATCAGTCTGAGGAAGCGAGGATAAATGTGAGAGAGAAAAAAAAAAAAAAAGGTTTTGCCAGGCTGTCCCAGATCTCTTACATGAACCCTAAAGGAAATGAGTGGGATGAACTGAAGAGAAGCACCAACATGGAGCTGGGAATCTGAAGGATCTGGAGAGATTCTGGATGAAGGAATGGTCTCTGATCTCTTGTCAGGTGTTCTTCAAACTCATCAGGAATTTTAGGAGAAAACTCAGAGCTGATATCTTGGCAAAAGGAGGTTGCAAAAAGTATTGAATAGAAGGGTCGATAATTGTGGCCACCATGAGTTGAAGAAAAACATTTATTTCATTATGAGATTTTCTCCCCATTTTCAATTGTTTTAACTTAAAGATTAGATTTTTGTGATTTTTTGGAATGAAAGACCAAAAGGATAAACAATGAAGATTTATTTTTATAGCCTTCTTTGCATACATTTACCAAGGGGGATAATTATTATTTTATTATAATACAATTTTAATTTCATGCAATGTATTCCTGTGATGCAAAGCTGAATTTTCAGCATCATTACTCAGTCTTCACTGTCACATGATCCTTCAGAAATCATTCTAATACGATTTACTACTCCATTATTATCAGTTATTATTGGTAATGTTATTATCAATGGCTCTTATTACTATTATAATCAATTTTGAAAAGTTTTTGATGCTTTATATGTTTGTGGAAATCATACTTTTTTTCAGAATTCGTTGATGAACAGATTTTTTTTGTCCTTTCTTTTTTCAATATCAATTTTTTTCCCAAACTTTTAACTGGTTCACTGTTTATACAAAAATATTAGGCTAAGCAGCAAAAACTGTTTTCAACTTTGAAATGTTTTTTGAGCATCGAATCAGCATATTAGAATGATTTTACAGGAATAAATGACACTTAAAAAATTTTTTTAAGTCACTACTTTCAGCCACGTCAGACTCTACACAGAAATGTTTTGTGAAACTAAAACTATTATTATTATTATTGTCTGGACGTTAGAACACATTAGCAACTAGTTTAGTTAGAACACATTTGCAACAAGTGACAGAAAATAATCAAAACGTTAAAAAAAATCTTTAAAATAATTATTTTTTAAAACGCAAAGGCATTTTAGAATTTATATAGCTTGCATAAACGTGTACGCAATATAGATTTCCTTTTGAATTATATGGTTGGTAACTGTTTTTCACCTGGCATTCTATCTTAAGGCATTTGTAAAAGTTTGTGCATTTAAATACATGAAGTGTTTTATTTTAAATATTATAAACCAGATCTGACAAAGCGATTGAGTTTCTGATCACATTAAATATAGTCACAGTGCAAATTGTCTAGCGCATTTTAATAGCCATTTTGAGAAAGAGAAGTGGAAATATGTATACCAACTCTCAAAGTGGGCGGGCTAAAGTGACTAGGGCGAGCTCTCTGATTGGCTAGACGCGGTGACGTTTCTCCTCTGCGGTAAAACGGCACGGAGACAAAATAAAAACTTTCGCGGCGCGCTCTTTGAAATTGCTACTAACCATAAACAAAACTTTTTACATAAAAGCCGCAAATCCGGTCATCACCACCATAGACAAAATATACTGTACATTTCTAAAACATTGTATATGTCTATGCTCATCACCGCATCTGATATACCGACAGTAACTTCCAAAACTATGCGCCGCCCACTTTAGACCCTAACTACTTATTTCTGCACGTTTGCGTTCTTATGATTACAATCTTTTGCTGTAATTGGGATTTTATAATGCGACAAAAACTCCTCATATTTTAAAGGAATCCCTTGGTCAACTGACTCACCAAAATAATATTATTTTTAGACCAATTATCAAAATAAATGGATTTATTCTTGTACAGCAGATCTCTGTTGTGCCAAATTATATAACCGTGTGAGGGGAAATTATGCTTGTAAATTAAAGACCACGATAAGACACATTGTTTTGAGTATGTTTTGTGATATAACTCCTGAAATTAAATAAAAACTTTCGCGGCGCGCTCTTTGAAATTGCTACTAACCATAAACAAAACCTTTTACATAAAAGCCGCAAATCCGGTCATCACCACCATAGACAAAATATACTGTACATTTCTAAAACATTGTATATGTCTATGCTCATCACCGCATCTGATATACCGAAAGTAACTTCCAAAACTATGCGCCGCCCACTTTAGACCCTAACTACTTATTTCTGCACGTTTGCGTTCTTATGATTACAATCTTTTGCTCTAATTGGGATTTTATAATGCGACAAAAACTCCTCACATTTTAAAGGAATCCCTTGGTCAACTGACTCACCAAAATAATATTATTTTTAGCCCAATTATCAAAATAAATGGATTTATTCTTGTACAGCAGATCTCTGTTGTGCCAAATTATATAACCGTGTGGGGGGAAATTATGCTTGTAAATTAAAGACCACGATAAGACACATTGTTTTGAGTATGTTTTGTGATATAACTCCTGAAATGTCATTGCAATATGAAAATGTTATTCTGGGTTATACACATTTTGAAAGAGAACAATCAGATCTTTTTTTATTTACTCAATCTTATTTTGTTTCTCGCCCAATATGTCGTACACAAATGTAAATATTGTAAGTGTAAGCCTTTCTTCAACCTTTTTCTGGAAGAGTTCAAACTGTATATGCATTTGATTTCGGACTCTTCCAATAAGAAAGCTGTAAAAACTGAATCTTTTTAAAAGGTACATTATTTTCTTGCTCCCTGGCATGTGGTATATTAATGTCATTCTGTGTTTCATATATTATAACAACAACAACAACAAAAATGATTACAATCTTTTAAAGACATATCTCACATTTATTCTATTAGTTCGTGTAAGCCTCATTTTGTTATAAAAGGTCCTTCTAATTTGCTGAACCACTTGAAATGAAGAACTGTGCATCTACATCCTCGATGTGTAACGCTAAATTTGGAAAAAGCCCACTGCTGGCACGGCGTTGATGACATGGTTCGAACCCTGGTTTTCTTGTTGCAGACCACAGTGCTTTATAAGGACAAAACATTACACTAACTTTGAGAACCTAAGCTTTATTTTGTAAAACTTCCAAAATCTTCTTATCAGCCAAATTGAAATGAATCTTGTTTCACTTTTTTGGGGGTCCCCAATCCCACGTCACCAATCCCACGCTGATCCAGGGTTTCCACCAAGAGGAATAATACCTGTAGAGTTATTGCATTCAGGTACACTTAGCACCTTTATTTGCAGATGTATATTTGCCAAGTTATGAAATAAAGGCAAAGACCTTTAGACCACACTTAACTTTCATTTTCATTTATTAATTTGATCGTTTATTTTTTTTTTAAAGACATATCTCACATTTATTCTATTAGTTCGTGTAAGCCTCATTTTGTTATAAAAGGTCCTTCTAATTTGCTGAACCACTTGAAATGAAGAACTGTGCATCTACATCCTCGATGTGTAACGCTAAATTTGGAAAAAGCCCACTGCTGGCACGGCGTTGATGAAATGGTTCGAACCCTGGTTTTCTTGTTGCAGACCACAGTGCTTTATAAGGACAAAACATTACACTAACTTTGAGAACCTAAGCTTTATTTTGTAAAACTTCCAAAATCTTCTTATCAGCCAAATTGAAATGAATCTTGTTTCACTTTTTTGGGGGTCCCCAGGGTCTGTGTCCCTGAGTCACCAATCCCACGCTGATCCAGGGTTTCCACCAAGAGGAATAATACCTGTAGAGAGTTATTGCATTCAGGTACACTTAGCACCTTTATTTGCAGATGTATATTTGCCAAGTTATGAAATAAAGGCAAAGACCTTTAGACCACACTTAACTTTCATTTTCATTTATTAATTTGATCGTTTATTTTTTTATACACAATGCTTTTTAGCATTTTAAAATCCCAAACTATTTTATAGCTATTATACTTCATGGCGAAAAACAGTATAGTAATAATATTAGCACAGTTAGGCCCCAAAATACTCTACACAAACATGTGAACACAAGCTCTTGATACTCAAGTTTGATTTCTGACAAAGAAATGTAAAAAAAAAAATTTGTAGCGCAACAAGTATGTGTGTTAATCGAGTTCTCAGCACTGCCACAAGGGGCGCTATAACAAGCACAGGCATAAACCGTTATCTACGATCCTCTATGGATTTTCTATAGTGAACTACTTACTACCTTCTTTGATGTTTCAGAGAGGCTAGCAATAGCAAGCTAGCTTTGAAAGCATAAGATCCCACCCTCCTTGCAAATCACCCTCCAAAGCCACACCTCCTCCAAAACACATGAACGCGCACGGGCAGACCAGAGGCTAACCAGCGACGCAACGAGAACTGGCACTGGTGGAGGGTTGAATGCAATGCTTACAGATTACCTTATGTCTCATTCACCGGTGAGAAAGCATTACAGTATAAAGCGCATGATATTACAATAATATTCCATTCCATTCTCGCTCGGTCTGCAATAGTGTAATGGAACACACTGATGACTTATTCCTGCACGAACCAGGTGCTCAGAGGTATGCAAATACATATGTTGACAGGCAGGTATGGTATCCCTCGGACAATTCATGGTCCTAAGCCTTCCGCAGATGATATAAATACATATAGATACATTTAGACCACTTAACGTAGTGATTGTTATAGGAATGTGAAGAGACTTCCAACCAACATAAAACAAAACTTTTTTGAACCAAACTACCTACCCTGGCTTTAACTGCCAACACGTTCATAGGTAGCCAGCTGAAAATAATACATCCTGGTTAATGGCTCAAACATTTGAAGGCAATTCTATCACTGCCGTGAGTACTGAGGTTAGTTTCCACCACAGTACAACAAGAATAATGTAAAGAGGTTACATACAAGACCTTGGCCTTGCAAATCGTTGAACAAGCATTTGTGTCCATGTACTTGTGTAGAGTAGTTTTCTGGCCTAAGGCTGACATTTTTACTTTTTTCCACCTAAATAGTTCAAAAAATATATATATAAAAAACAAAAAATTATATAGAGTTGTTTGATTGATGGATACATCAAGAGAAAACTTCCCAAGCCACTGGAAACGAGAAATGCCAAAGAAAAAGGGTTATGCTACAATTTTTGTACAAAACACCTGTATCAACAAATATCCTATGATAACTTTTATACATGCAAACAAACTTCTTGAGGAGCAATTGTGATTGTGATGAGCACAAAGAGATTGTAAGGAATACTGTCATCTATGGCTTGAAGTACTAAAAGCCTTTCAGAGTTCTTATAAATTAAAACATCAATTTCCTCTTTTTTGAGTAGTAGAAGCCAGATAAACAGTAAGAGAGCTTGAAACAAAACATTGCAGCTTCAAATCTAGATCCTCATAAATAAGAAAGTTCCTGAGAGTCCACACTTGTGAGTGCTCTACCACCATTTTGCCCCGAGCAAAGGCACTTGCTTGCTCTAGGTCACGGGTGCCCAATCCTGTTCCTGGAGATCTACCTGTAGAGTTCAGATTCAACACACCTGTCTGTAATTACCAAATGCTCCTGAAGATCTTAATTAGCTGGCTCTGTTGTGTTTGATCAAGGTTGGAGCTGAACTTTGCGAGATCTCCAGGAACAGGATTGGCACCTCTGCTCTAGGTGGACTCGACTAACGCAAGTTGCTTTGGATGAAAAGTCAAAAAAGTAAATACCTCATCTTGCAATACTTATCCAGTCTTAGAAAGCCTCTGTAGTGCCTCAACAAAGAAAACGTTTGTGACCGTGACAAATCATTACAATAAAACACTACCATAACCGGAGGTTCCTTTAACAGCTGTAGCTAAAGTGCTCATTTTGTTTGGAGATTCTTCCTGATCTGCGTGTACTGTGTCCTACCATCCCATCTTTTGAAGCCCAGGACCGGAGTTCGTATTTGTTATGACTTGTTTTGTTCCTGTCTACTTTTTGACATTCTCTGTCAAACTGTCTTTGTAGCTTTAGTGCCAGTTCTCTGTCCTCCTTTTCCTGATTAGTTTGCTGGACAATCAGATCATCAAACCTGTCACAGACATCTATCCGGGACATTTTTGTCTGTAGGGTCTCTTCCAAATGTTTGGTTTTGTGGCTTCTCTTTTTGCCCCTTCTTGAGGTAGGTCTGTTAAATACACAGCTCCTGGTGGTAGGCTCATTTATGAAGTTATCTAGGTCTTCAGTACCCAGATTACAGTGTCCAGCAGGTTTATCAAGCATCGGTTCACAAATTTCTGTGGGTTCACAGAGTGCTTCACGTTTGCTTCGCCCTTTTGCAGATGAAGTATCTGCAATGGTTTGAGTTGTCGACCTGATGTGAGTGCTAGCTGGCTGTGTACCTTCCTCTTTGTTACACTGATCAAATACAAGCCGTCGTTTATTACAGACTACAGGTTTATCCTTCTGATCCTTAGCACTTGATTCACAAATGCACTGATGATCTTGCAAGCTGTCCTTGGCTACAGTACAGCTGCAGAGTCGGCTGTCCTGTTCTTCAACGGGACTCAGTTTAAGGCTAAGATCCTCTGCGATCGGACTGGTGACTGTACCTTTTGAGGTCACCTTGATACACTGACGATCAACTTCAATCTGCTTCCACTTCTGCAAGATGGTCGGGCTGGCCTCGTAGCTTGTGGACTTGTGCAGAGTGCGTGTCAAGTTCCTAGGGGTTGACTTCACGATTGTAGGTTCCAAAAGTCGCCCATCGGGCAGCCTTTTGGGTGGAGTGCACGGCGAGCAGACAATAGGCTTGAAATGGTTGAGTTCTTCCGATATGCTGTCATTGCTCTCTGGGCTAATAGATCTCTCTGGTTTGGTCTGAAGCACGAGCGAAGCGGATGAGGTGTGGATGCCCCGCCAATGGTGTCTCTTATCTAAGCTCAGTACCGGAGCTGAGAAAGAGCGACTGTTCTCTGAGGACAGAAGGATTCCAGCGTTGTAACTATGAGTGATGCTAGCCTAGAGCAGGGAAAGAGATGCAGAGTAGTATCACTGACAATAAAAATGACTGATTCACTGGAAATTTGTCTATTGTCAAGCTTGCCACAACATATGCTATTTCTTACTATAGGGGTGTACAATCATGCTCCTGAAGGGCCAACATCCTGCAGAGTAGGACTGGGCAATATGGCCAAAAAATATAAATTTTCATATCAGTCGATATTTATAATTATCACAAATTTTTTTTTTTCAAGTTTAAAAGCAGATTTTTTTTGCTCCTAATCGAAAGTTATAGAAACAAGACCGTTGATTATGGTTTTAAACTATTTTTATGGTCGGAACGTGACAAACACTAAACGTTTTTGAATTATTTACACTTTTCCAGTTATTTTTCCTTAAGAGAAATATCTTAATAGAAAATATATATATTTTTTAGTTTCTGCATGTTCTGAGTGATATTGTTTCAAATCATGAAACCGGTTTGTGTTCCTGACTTTGATGTGTATCTTCAGCGGTTTGCAGTGCAGGCTGCAATATTAATAGTATCACATTTTTTTTGTCTCTTAGAAATGCACATTTGACAGAAGCTTGAGTTAGGATACAGATTTATGTTACATTTAGTCATTTAGCAGATGCTTTTATCCAAAGTGACTTACAAATGAGGACAATGGAAGCAATCAAAATCAGCAAGAGATCGGTCTGTAAACTAAAAACAATAGTCAAGCAGTTGGCACCCTCTGCAGGCATTTGATAATGCATAATGTACATAAGTTATAATTATATTGTTTTATTAGGGGTTCAAGCAGGTAGCGCTGAAACCCTATTAAAATTGTTAGAATGGCCAAGTATCAGCAATTTCCACGTAAATCTGATTGGGCAGAACAAATTGTAAGTTGTAGAGACTTTAGACTGGGAAGGATGGTAGTACTCACCGTGTACAATGTCATCAAGGCTCACCCCTATCGGTCTGATGGGGGCGCTACAGCGATCAAAAGTTCGAAATTGCTCATAACTCCTAAACTGTTAGACGCAGACTCAAGTGCCTTATGTTGTTGGAATCCTTGGCTCATGACGGACAAAACCCATGCCTTGGATTTAATTGTCACCCAAAATTTTCAGGGATGCTGGATTTTTTGAAAAACCTACCTTTGCGAACTAGTCCTAGGTATTTTGCCCGATCAGAACCAAACCAGTGCGGAAAGATTTTCTGGAGAGTGAATATCAATAATTATCAAAAAAAAGGGTGGAAATTTCGACTTCGACTCAACATTGAAAGGGATGCCAAAATGTTCAAAAGGGGCAAGGCAGCTTTTACTAAAACAGCTATAACTTTTGAACGGAATGAGATATTGTTTAAAAAACTCAGAACACTCATGTAGGAGCTCATTCAAAGTTCACATTAAAAAAAAAAAAACCTCAAAGCTTGGCCACTTGGTGGCGCTATAAGAGGGGGAAAATGGCTATGACTAAGCAACCATTTGTCCGATCAACATGAAAATTGGTATGCAGTGTCTTTTATCCAAAGTGCCACAGGTGTCTATAAGGACAAGGATAAGGACAAGAAAAGGTTAATGGAGGACGATCGGAATTAAACTTGGTGGGCCTGTTTGACTCACGGCCCTAAAGGTCTGTGAGAAATTTTGAAATAAATCGGTCACTGGGGAGCGATATCACATTTTTCAAGGGTGTAAACGATTGTATATTGCACGGTTTTTCAGACATACAACAATATTCATATAATCTGATAGAGCTTCTCATTCTGTACAACTTTGCCTCTAGAACAGGGGTGCCCAACCCTGCTCCTGGCGATCGACTTTCCTGCAAAGTTTAGCTCCAACTCTAATCAAAGACACCTGCATTTAATTTTCAAGTGATCCTGAAGACCCTAATTAGTTGCTTCAGGTGTGTTTGATTAGGGTTGGCGCTGAACTTTGCAGGACAGTCGATTGCCAGGAGCAGGGTTGCGCACCCCTGCTCTAGAACCACTGCTGTCAATCAAATCATCTGTAAAATAATTGATATGTAAAACACCTACTTTTGCGAACTAGTCCTAGGTTTTTCACTCAATCTCGAAAAAAACCACTGCAGTACAATTCTCTGGACTCTCTAGGTCAATAATTGTAAAAACAATTTTGAACTTTACCCTTTGGATGGCTATAACGGGGTAGTTTAAAAAAAGGGGTATGTCCAAGAGCCTGTCCACATGGAGACGCCTTTAGCTGTATCCGTAAAAATGTTTGTATCGTATCAGCGTTTCATCCAGACAGATCTAGCATTTTGGGAGCCTGAAACCACTATTCTTTGAAACCAGGTCCCAGAGTGTATAAATCTGAAAACTATACCCTTGCGTTTGGGTGTACAGTCAATCCGTATATTTTGTGAAACGATGATGTCCTCACCCCACGTCTCGACCCTAGTCAGACGCTGCTACGTCACTTAACAGCAACAACAACAATGGCGGACTACACGCAAGGTTTATGCGCATGCTCCAAGTAGTTGTCTCCATTTTTAGTGTATTTCTGTAGCAGAATTACAGCATACTGGTCTGGCATGTATACTACATAATTTTGAGTTGGTTTCAGTGGTTTCATGTGTATGCATATATTTCTTGAGAAGACGAAACTAGGTTAGCACATGCGACAGTTTATTTTAAACAAACATGCAAAGTTTCATGGAGATCGGACCACAGGTGGCGCTATAACTTTCACAAAGGCTTCAAAAACACTACATTTCTATGATAAACGACCTGAAATAGCAAAAAAATGTTCACGTATTCACACTAGATCTTCACAGCGTACGAACTTTGCCTACAGGACCACTGCTGTCAATCAAACCGTTCTTTAAATATTTGACATTATTAAAAGAAAAAAAAACTACTTTTGCAAACTACTCCTAGGTTCAACCTCAATAATAAGGTCAATATTTATCAAAAAATGTTGAACTTTCCCCTTTGGCTAGTTATAACGGTCATTTAGAAAATGGCCAAATATACCCCAAAGCCTATAAATCCTAAACGCAAACTCAAAACTTCCCAAAACTGGGTGAGCTCATGCGACACATAATAATATTAATAATATGTTTTGTTAATATAACACCTTTCAAGAACCCAATGACACTTTACATAACCATTCACACGCATTCTCTCTGTGGAGGCGCCATGATCTGAAAACACAGACATATAGTACTGTACAAGTAAGCTGCAGTTCAGCGATCTCTATTTGAGGTATTCTGCTTAAATGAAAGTGTCATTCAGCCAGTCTGTGTTCTGTCATGGATCTCGACTATATTGTTTGCGATAGTGGTTGCTGATTGTAATGTTACTTACACAACCTCTGAGCGGCAATACGTTTTTTGGCAGGGTTTTTTTGCCATTGTTTTAAAAGAGAAACATTAATGCAATTTGGAATTACTATTAGGAATTTCTCTGTTATCATATTCGAGTAGGTTTTTATTACACCAGTTTTCATAATGTAGACAGGGCGAGTGTATATCTGAAGTCTTTGGTGTATATTTAGCCTCTAATTGATATCCTGTTATAAATCTGTACAATAGACGAGGTAAAATAAACCATGCATACGAGTTGATATTCTATTGATTTGTGCATAATGGTGTAAGAGCAACTTCTGATGAAATGTAAAAATTAATTTCCCAAATGACAATCATTTTTTTATCATTTTAACCATTATACAGTAAGACGAAAATGTGTAAGTTTCCACTGACTAAAACTAGACTAAAATGCTCAGACATTAAGTCGACTAAAAATTGACTAAAACTAAAACAGGACAAGTTGACTAAATATGATAAAAACTAAAAGTTACATTTGACACAGGACTAAGACTAAATTAAAGGGGTCATATTATGCTTTTTAAAAGATCATTATTTGGTGTATTTGGACCCACACACACACACACACACACACGATGTGCAAAACTCCGCATTTGAACAGTCAATAGCATATACTTAAACTACTAACAAAACAGCAGCTGATTCAGAAGCACCAGATTGTCATAGCAAAGTCAGAATTACCTCCTCTCCTAGGTTCACGAAACGGTCGTCTATAAAATGCATTGCTGTTCTGTTGTAAGTCATCTTAAAGATTCCTAAATGCATCTACTTTCGAAAGGCCAAATAAAGTGCTTTTGCTTTCGCCTAGAAACACACAGCGTCTCTCTGACATGCTGCTTCAACACTAACTGCGGTTACTGAAACCACGCCTTCTTTCTTTGCGTGAACATTTGGGCGCATTATGCTAATATTTCCACATAGTGAGGTAGATATGTGGGGGCGTGTTAGAACGAGCCGTTTTAGGGGGCGTGGCAGAGTCTTATCTTTGATAAAGAATATCTCTTTGGTTTTGAGACTTTAGTCTTTGCAACTTCAGGGATCTTATCAATGCACAATCAGCTTGTAACACTCCAAAGAGAAAGGAAAACTTGAAATCGCATCATATGACCACTTTAAAAATAGCTGACAAAATTAACACTTGCAGCTATATTTATATTTTGTATTTCAACTGTTTTGTTCAATAAAACCATATGATTACCTGCTTTTGATATTTTATTTGAACCAATTATTGTTTCCTTATTGCTATTATGTATGTATTGTGAGTCATTTTAAAGTCTGTTGGCTTAGGTCTATTTTTATAACAACAAAAAAAAGAATTACTCTATTAATCATCAGAATTATCAACCGATTACTCAATTATGAAAATAATCATTGCTGACAGCCCTATAAGATATGAAGAACCCTACTCTAGCAAAAGCTATGAACTGTACTAAAAGTTGCAGATAAATGTCTTCTAAAATAGTTTTACTTACAACAACATTTTATGCCAATAACTGAAATATTATACCTTTTCAGGAACGGCATGATGTGCGTGACCTCTGTTTTTTCCTCTTCCGTCCTCAGAATCTGTACAGCTCCTGCTCCTCTGGACAGCACTGCTATGAAGACAACTGTAATACAGCACAATGATAGAATGGATGTTTATCTTTTTTTAACACCTAACAATCGGAAAACAATTTATTGAGGGAAGTATCAAAATTTAAGTCACAATTTTTAAACTTTCCTCCATACTGCAGACCTTCTGAAATAATAAACAGTGATGTGCAAAGTTACTAATTGTCTGACATTTGGCATCAGCTAATATTAATTAGCGGATTAATTATTAATTATGTGTATTAATAGTTTTGCTAGTTCATGTTTGTGGCAGATATAGCTATATAAATGCATTTAATTTTAAAATAATTGTCCATTGTCTATTTTTCATTTTGAGTGAATATTGTTAAATGTGTTTAATGAGAGTATGGCTGTAATCCAGACAAATGGAAACTCTGAATAACTTCTAACAAAGTATAATTTTGATTTGCTTGACACTTTACATAATTTCTATACCTCTATGTGCTATTTCATAGTTTTGATGACTGTTGTCCTAAAATGTCAAAGAATGAAGAGGTGTGTGGTTTTTTTGCATAGTAATGTATAGGGCTGCACGATCAATCGAATGTGATTGTCATGCGCATTTTGTTAGTAAAGCCGGTTCTGTAATCAGCAGGAAGTCATCATCACATGCTTTCAGATGGAGCAGTATTTACTACACATAGCTTTAGTTCACTGACAAGTTATGCAAAAAATAAATAAATACCGCAGACGATTTTATTGCGCGATTCTGAAATCGAAGAAATTGTTCGCGATAATGACGGCTGTTTGCATAGCTTCTCAGTGAACTACGGCTCTAGTAAATGCTGGATGTAGTAAATGCTGCTCCATCTGAAAGCATGTGAAAATCCCACAATAACATATTTTTACTCCAAACTCGCCTCATAACGTCAGTCGAGTGTTTGAAATAAATCCTTCTGTGAGATGATGTGGCTTCTTACACAGAATAAGGCACGCAACATATTTCATAGTATTTAAGCAGTGATAAAGGCATTGCATTATAAATATACTTTATTTGAATGAAAATTATAATAATAAGAACTCCGATAAACCGTATATTGCCGTAGTCGTGTGTTTATTAGTCACGTTGAATCAATGAAAGCAGTTGAATCTTCTGTTTATTCAGCTGCAGCGATAGACGTTTTCTGGGTTTCTTCTGCGAGGCGTATTTGGAGTTTCTCTGGCCTTTGGATGGAGATTTACTGCTGATCACAGAACCGTGCTTCACTGAAAGATACGCATGACAATCGCAGCTTCTGTCGAATCACGATCTCGATTCCATTTCGATTTATCGTGCAGCCCTAGTAGTGTACCCCATTATTCCATTCCCTCCTCTCTAGAAATTACGAAAAACTATATAATTTGACCCCTGATAATAAATATATTTATATAAAATTAGAAAATTTAAATTATATAGTAAATATAAGTGCAATACCCTCTATTGAAAGCAGGGGAGCATCTTGTTTTTCGCACAAATGCTGAAACGTGTCGGGTCCTCTTTCCCACCGGCTCTTCATTCTCAGAGTCGGACACTCCACAGAACTGAAACACGGTAAACTACAGGGTAAGATGGAAGATCATACATAATTGAGCAGTAACTAAACAGTCAATAAAGGAAATATCCCAAATGATGACCCTGTTTAGACCCAAGTAGCTACAAACGATAGAAAGAAACGAACATACAGGATATTGACAATGTTTCAGCATCCCACACTCTTCTTTTCTGTGGATTTTTTTCTTCCTCTCTTCAGTTTCTTCACTTCCTCCACCCTGAAGAAATAACACTGTGCTTTATATATATGTACAGCATGTCAGGCTATAAGGAGAACATATAATAAAGCAAGTTTATTACAAACCAGAAGTGCTTTGCATTTTACCAAATGCCAAATAAGTGCAGGTTATTCATTAATGTCCATACAAAAGACGTTTGTGGAACAA